TTACAATAAATGTAGCGTGCTATTGAGATATCAAGTGTTCGTATTCCAAATTCTGTATTCATCCTAGGAGCCGTTTAATTTTTTTCCATAAATTTTATGTATCGATTTGGTTGCTGCATAAAAAAGTCGTAAATCCGATGTGTGTTTCCACTGTATTGCGTTTACATAAATATATATAAATATTCCGATAGCGTCTAACCTATAGGTAGGTGAATTGGATCAACCAAAATACATGCACACGTTTACTGAAGAATATACGTTTCTAGATCACGATTTACAAGTCAGAAAAAAATATATAGTGACACAAAATGCCAAAGAGGAGGCCTACATCATTATTTATTACATTCTAAAAATTACGAAAAAGAATCCACATTGTCAACGCTACATTTTACGACCACGTCCACTAAAATGATTTAACACAGCATATAGTATGTGACAAGTTACCAGCCATCATCTGTTAAGTAAAAGTTCAACTAGAAAGTCAAAAGCTGGTATAATATCTAACACTATAGAGATGGAGAAGGACATATGCTCCTATCAATAATCATCATCATTATAAAGTCGTCACTCTTAAAACTGATTGGACACGCACCTCCACTCTTTCTAATACTTAGATAATCTTCGTATTTCCCTAAAACCAGAACATCCCACATCCTCATCTTTATTTTGAACTATAATCTGATCTAGGTCTACCTCTGCTTCACTCAGCTAATATGTCCTTAACTAGCCTACCAGCCTTCTGCATCCTAATTTCTAACCTTCTCTAGAACATCCCACATTCTCATCCTTATTTTGAACAATAATCTCATCTAGGTCTACCTCTGCATCACGTAGCTAATATGTCTTTAAGTAGCTTACCAGCATTCTGCCTCCTCCCTTGTAACCTTCTCTAGAACATCCCACATCCTCATCTTTATTTTGAACTATAATCTGGTCTAGGTCTACCTCTGCTTCACTCAGCTAATATGTCCTTAACTAGCCTACCAGCCTTCTGCATCCTCATTTCTAACCTTCTCTAGAACATCACACATTCTCATCCTTATTTTGAACAATAATCTGATCTAGGTCTACCTCTGCTTCACGTAGCTAATATGTCTTTAAGTAGCTTACCAGCATTCTGCCTCCTCCCTTGTAACCTTCTCTAGAACATCCCACATCCTCATCTTTATTTTGAACTATAATCTGATCTAGGCCTACCTCTGCTTCACTTAGGTAATATGACTTTAACTAGTCTACCAGCCTTCTGCCTCCTCCCTTCTAACCCTCTCTAGAACATCCCACATCCTCATCTTTATTTTGAACTATAATCTGATCTAGGTGTACCTCTACTTCACTTAGCTAATATGTCTTTAACTAGCCTATCAGCATTCTGTCTCCTCCCTTATAACCTTCTCTAGAACATCCCACATCCTCATCCTTATTTTGAATTATAATATGATCTAGGTCTACCTCTCCTTCACTTAACTAATATATGACTTTAACTAGCCTACCAGCCTTCTGCCTCCTCCCTTCTAACCTTCTCTAGAACATCCCACATTCTCATCCTTATTTTGAACAATAATCTGATCTAGGTCTACCTCTGCTTCACGTAGCTTCTATATCTTTAACTAGCTTACCAGCATTCTGCCTCCTCCCTTGTAACCTTCTCTAGAACATCCCACATCCTCATCTTTATTTTGAACTATAATCTGATCTAGGCCTACCTCTGCTTCACTTAGGTAATATGACTTTAACTAGTCTACCAGCCTTCTGCCTCCTCCCTTCTAACCTTCTCAAGAATATCCCACATCCTCATCCTTATTTTGAACTATAATATGATCTAGGTCTACCTCTCCTTCACTTAACTAATATATGACTTTAACTAGCCTACCAGTCTTCTGCCTCCTCCCTTCTAACCTTCTCTAGTGCATCCCACATTCTCATCCTTATTTTGAACAATAATCTGATCTAGGTCTACCTCTGCTTCACGTAGCTACTATATCTTTAACTAGCTTACCAGCATTCTGCCTCCTCCCTTGTAACCTTCTCTAGAACATCCCACATCCTCATCTTTATTTTGAACTATAATCTGATCTAGGCCCACCTCTACTTCACTTAGCTAATATGTCTTTAACTAGCCTATCAGCCTTCTGCCTCCTCCCTTATAACCTTCTCTAGAACATCCCACATCCTCATCCTTATTTTGAACTATAATATGATCTAGGTCTACCTCTCCTTCACTTAGCTAATATGTCCTTAACTAGCCTACCAGCCTTATGTCTCCTCCCTTCTAACCTTCTCTAGAACATCCCACATCCTCATACTTATTTTGAACAATAATGTGATCTAGGTCTACCTCTCCTTCACTTAGCTAATATGTCCTTAACTAGCCTACCAGCCTTATGTCTCCTCCCTTCTAACCTTCTCTAGAACATCCCACATCCTCATACTTATTTTGAACAATAATGTGATCTAGGTCTACCTCTCCTTCACTTAGCTAATATGTCCTTAACTAGCCTACCAGCCTTATGTCTCCTCCCTTCTAACCTTCTCTAGAACATCCCACATCCTCATACTTATTTTGAACAATAATGTGATCTAGGTCTACCTCTCCTTCACTTAGCTAATATGTCCTTAACTAGCCTACCAGCTTTCTACCTCCTCCCTTCTAACCGTCTCTGTTTTAACCAAATTGTCTTTAAACGTTATTCATACATACGCGGGGAAATTGTAGGTAGAACTACATATCTAAGGATATAGGTTCATATATTTTTTGTACGTAGGTACTTGATAGTGGTTAAAGCCTACGGTTAAACTTTTTCTTGTTTTGTACTCTCAAATTCCATTTTCGTTTAGCAGGGAGGATTACGATAATAAATTCATTCAAATTGCAGAAAAATCTCGCTGTGGATATTTTCACTGCCTATGCCTACCCAAATAAAGCGACCTAGTTCCATTTTAATTCTCGCTTTTTTCTGTTCCAATTTTACTTAAAAAAATAAAAAATACAAATAACAATTTGACAACATGCCGCGTACGTGGCATTATATGTATTATGAATACACGACAGAACTTCAATAATACAAATGCATATTTCAAATGATACTGAACCTATTGTTTCCATATATTATACCAATAGTAGAAGTCCTTTGTTACAGGAAATCGAGATTATGCTTTAGAATTCTCTCGGTTTTCAATATTCACGTAGTAATACAATGATCTACATTCGACCTGTTAATTGTCAATTTTAAATAGAAAAAGGCAAAAGGATAATAATTACATACTCTCCATTCCGCTTTTCCATTTTTTAATTATCGACAATAAGTCTTTGCTGTTGTAAAATATAATCGGTTAATCCCTACAGACGTTACCTATCTCGCTACTATTCAATGAATTTTATCGGAGAACGAGAATATTAATTTACTTGTTACAGTATCAAAACAATATTTTACATGGCTATTTAATTGACTGCAGTTGTCGTTATATTTTACAAAGTTTAATTAATTAAACGTACCACCAACACAAATTAATTGATTAATAATGAAATTAGTACACTTATAAATGAATATTTTTGTTAATGCTAAATCATTTTACTTCTTAAATAATTTAATTGCGAAAAACTATTTTTAAATCACGACTTCTGAGAAGCTCAATAAGCAACCAAGATAAAAAATTATTTCAAAGTGAAGACGTCTCATCTTCCTTTCGACATTAATTAAAATTACTTTCCAATTAACGAGGTTGGCAAAAAATAAATTTAAACACCTGCGTCTAAAACCTTCTGTCATCCGCTAAGGGTTGCTACTTTAGTTGAAAAGCTACAAACAATTCACCCTTGTTCTTTTCCTTCCTTTCTAGCGTCATTTTCTTTACGTTTGCTTCTTAACCTTTAAGTTAATTATTTATCAATTACGCCCTGATAATAAATAAAACCTGTGACTTCCGACTTGTTTTAGGTACACAACGTATGTATTACCACACCTTATGGAGAAAACGTACCCCACCCATAATATAATGAACGACTATATATTGAATAAAATTGTCTTTCTTTCTATTTTAATTACAGATAAGATTGTATCATAATTAAGTAGATAAAAGTCATTTGTTGCAGAATCGTCACCTAATTTAAAATTCTACTTTTGCTTGACGATGTTATGTAGTACATTGTACGTACAGTCCCACTTAAAAGTGCCTGAACATCAAAATTATTTCCTAACAGAAACTCCTTACAAAGACCAAATACTTGTATCTGAATTTTAGATGTAATAACAGAAAATAAGAGTAATTAATTACTACTTATTCAGATCAAACAATTTTGAAGTAAAACACCATGTAGATACGTGACATGTCTGACATTTACAAAAGTTATTTTACTAACCACGGCATCTGTCCATGTTTGCATTTACAATAGACAGGAAATAAAATAGCATTACATGTTCAATATTTATTTTAGCCAGGTCGCTGTTTGGTTCAATTTATAGATAACAAAAGGCAACTGGGTCGCATTATTTGTATCCAAAATTGACAATTCGAAAATAATTAGTTCACTTTCAAACGAAAAATAAACTTTTGTACAGTACAAAAAAAACTCGTAAATTTTCATATTTGTATACTTACAAAAAAGCTCCATATTCTTTCGTAAATATCAGTTCTTCTAGATCCCGAAAGTATTTATAATATTTAATTGTACTGTAAGTAAGTGAAACCCTTATTGATTTCGTCCGTAATTAGATAATTAATAAGTAAATAAAGCAGGGTGCTCCTTTTTTTAAATGCATAACGGATTCGTCTTCTAAATTTTAGTAAAGTAGCGATTAAATACATTCGAAAAGTGCGTTAACTTTTCTAGTTTCAAACAGAAGACGCTATATAAAACTTCGCGAACATATTTTGCCGCATTGTAGCAGCGAGAAATTTGAGCGCGACAGAACTTCAGAGTCAAGTAGAAAGAGGAAAGCCGTTAGTCGCACCGTCACACACGCGAAAATTTTCCGCATACAAAACTTTTTAAGTTTACTTACCAATAAGCACAAGAAGCGTGGAAATCAACAATCCGTTGGCAAACATGGAGCTAAGTGTTTTTTTATCTTCGTCAAATGTAAAGTTAAAGAAAACCTTTTCTTAGGTATGTAAGTATAACGATCGCACTTATACACAACTTATCGTCCAAGAATTAGGTAGTAATATTGTGCAAAATAAAAAAGATAAAGTGAAAACAGGACATCGTTTGGCTGTCGCTCGGGTATATAAAACGCGAACCGCGAGAAATTATCCTTTCAGGGACGAGCTCGTCAGTATTGCGACGGTCAGTCTTCTGCAAAGCAGTGGTAATTGTGATGCGGAGTATCGCGTGGAAAGTTCGCGCACCCGCGCTTTGCCGGCGCATCGGGACGCGACGCATATGTACCAGCGTCGGTCGCGACAAACGTCGGAATATAGCTCTTACAATGTTCTTGTGCAAGATCAAAATTCTGTGATCTTAAATCGCCCGCTGCAACGTTATAGAACAAAACCAAACAAAAAAGAAACACTGGAAGTCATCTAACGCCATCTAATTGATATTTGCTACTAACTATAGATTGTTTGGGAGTTAAAAGGGGACAGAGGTATCCTGATGACTCTACTATAATGATGATCCCCATTAACAGAATTTTAATTCAATCTTATGAAGCTTTCTTTTTTACTGTTATAAAAGAACAGTACGTCAATACAATTACGAAGTTTGTAGCACAACTGACTCAACTTTAATAATGTTGTACCTACTACAAATTTTTTAACTTGTCTGTACCTATAATATCCCTAAAGAAAGTTTTATCGTCATTTATGATGCTACACAGTTTTCTTGTTACATAAACTTTGCATGATAGATTTAGGAACTGTATAAAGAGGGACCGTTTAATAGATGCGAAAGTTTAAAAACAAGAAGCGAACAATAGACTTGCAAATTGCGATTAAAATAATTCACGTTTCTTGAAGATGCGATGTTACAAATCGATTATTTATGGAGTAAAAAGTCGTGTAGTTTTTACGCTACACATACACAAATCTCATGTATATTTAAGTATATCTCATCTCGATTCTTTTGTTCAAACAAACTATTTCTGTTAAAATACTTTCAACATTACAATTACCCGCATTCGTTAACTCAATTGCGCGGGAAACAGAAAGTTTTCCTCTACAACTGAGTGAGGAGGACGGAAAATCCGCAGCTGCGGTTTCGCTGGAACTTGAGCTTTCACCACGTTCCCTGAAGATGCCAACCACAGCAGCTGGCGAAACATCGGATAAGTGTTTGTACATTCGCGAGCTTCCCGATGGAGGAAAACCAATCCTAGATGACGGTCATCGAAGTCGAATATTAAAACTTATTTAGATAAGCCTTATTAACCTTTATGGGTTTTTGAAGGGGCCTGAGTAGGGATGAAAGAAGTAAATACAAATATCTACTCAGTATCGCTTTCCAATGCCAAATACTTTTAGTATTTCGTTCTCTAGAACTTCAATGAAGAAAACGGAAAAAAGTGGATCTTTTTCGTCTATTTCTCAAAATAATAAAGAAAATTTCCAACTACACTTTGACACAAGTAAGTATCGTCATTCGATACCCCGTTGGAAACGATACAACTGAGGTCATAGGTCCGACAGATGAAAACATATGTGGATGTCCGATTCCCGATTACTAAAGTAGAACGCGTGGTGTTTGCAAACATTTTCCACCCATTTAAATTTCACGATTGTTACAGATACAAAGTCTAATTTAAACTTCCATTGAAATCGGTGTGAACTTCGTGAGTGCTTAGCTTCCGTTTACTCTAAAAGTAATTCAATACAGAACTTTCCTAATGGTCGTCCATTGTCACGCGGAAACGAAATTTTCGAATTTTCTTTCTTAACATAGTCGAATTCTGTTAAATGCGAGACTCTGGTGTAACAATTAGAACTACCTTGGCTTCCGTAAAATCTATTTGCTCACAATATTTCGAAATGGCAATTGAACATATTCACCAAATGGCATACTAATCCAATCTCTCGTCAGCTTCCTCTCCTTCTACAGGCAGTGAGTAAGAGGGAGAGAGATGTCTACTAACACATTCAATTTTTAGTAAGCGTTACCATACGGAATTTCCCTATAAACTTAGAAAATTTAGAGGGAATTGTTATTTATTGGGATCCGTCAAATGGGCATACACCCTCTGGTGGCAAAATTTATAACTCGAATGAGGGAAAAATTTACATAGGAACTGTGCACGCAAATTCTAAAATTGTTTATTAAAATAATAAAACACGTTAAAAAAGTAAAATTTTTTTTGATGATGGAGTCGACGAAGTTTTCTTCTAAAGTTAAATCAAATAAAAAGTTAATATGTTCAGTGAAAAGCTGCAATAGCACTTCAGACATAGAACTTCAGTCCACCTACATTAACTAATTTCCAATAAAAACTAACCGTTTTATATATGTAAAAAATATATTCGGAAAATTAGAGAAAAAAGTAAACTAATAGAATCTTGGATGAAAGCAGTAGGTATCAAAGAAGTAAATTCCGGAATAAACATTTGTTCACGTCATTTTAATGCACATGATTATATTTTAGCAAGTATTTACCATCAGCCATAACCTTAATATTTAAAACTAGAATCATACTAATTATGTGTGTAATTGATTTAACACAATTCTAATGATACGATATAAGTATTTTGAGGTTAAGAACCTACCTGTTGCAATACAACAAAGTTGCAGTAATGTGTTTGCAACGTTCTCTTAAATCGGCTTTGCACGTGCAAGTCATTGATATGATATTGCTTAAATCACCCAGAATCACCTCACCAATTATATAACGTGAATCACTTTTTAAATCCGAAGTTTGTAAAAAGTAGGCAGTAAATTTGACGGAATTTGAAGGCTAGCTTCTGAATTTGTTGTTTCCGAATTTTATAATGTGATTGGCATTAAAGACACGCTCACCTTCAACGAAATTTCCTTTCCGAGGCTTTGTGTCAGCCCAATCACATATTGTGTCAATACTTATCATTTTATCGTAATTTAAAAACTTGGAAATTGCACGGTACACTATAGGAACTACAATAAATTTTCCCTAATCTGCGCCATGTTTTTAGGCTCCTCCCATTTGACGGATCCCAATAACTAAAGAAACATTCTTTCTCTGTGCGACAAGAAACTGAAAATCATTTAGCTGAAAATTGTAATTTTCACGACAACAATAGAAGGGAAGTCTATTAAAGCATTGTACAGCTTTTGCTCGAGTAAAAATATTTAATAATATCCTGGAGAATATTATCTTCACATTGTTGAAAGGTACAATATCATTGACGGTAACAAATTCGCAACATGCAAGTATTTCACTAAAAGGAATAACTTGACGTTAAACTGATGATATTAAATTCCTACGAAATATCTTGGAATTGTCTAACAAGACAACTTACACCAAAAGCTCGTAAGTTTCAGAATATCTTTCAATATGCTAGAATAGTTTTCAGTCAAATAATATCAAACCGTCAAAGTGACAAAACCGTGCGCTCCAAAGAAAAATAATCATCAGAATTTCATCAACGCAAACATGATAAAAATTGTTTTTACTGCATGTAAAATGTCAACTAATATGAGTGATATTCCCGACACTAATTTGTTACCGTCGCCACTGCTACAAAAAAAGACAAACAAGTTTAAACTTCGGGTACAAAATACGGACATTACGAAAAGATTGGTTTAATTGATAATGCAAATCAATAACAAAAGCACTTAACACATGGTTGTAAAAGTTTCACGACCTGATTTTGTAACTTTCTGTTTTCCTTTCCGACGAATTCCCAGATCAGTCTCAGACGTCCTGCCACGCTAATTATCCTGAAAGTAGGAAATTACAACTAATGCCTGAAAATCTATCACTGTCACGGCCAGCTTCTTTTTAAGTTGATACCGTGATCAAGGCTAGTTTATTAAAATATTTTCAAACAACTGAAAACTTTGTTAACTAGTCCATTAATAGTTCTCGCACATGCAACACGTCATTGTACCCTGTTTGCTTCGAATAATAGCTGAATTAAGTTGTTAACTGCAGCTTTATTGATCGGAAAAAAAAACTGTACAAATTATGTTCCACTTCTCATAAAATCTCAAGATACAATTACAACCAGCAGCACACGCAAAATGGAAATTATTTTATAAAAAAAACGCCGATGACTCAGGATATTACACATTCACTCTGCCGAGAGTCTTTATCTATCGGGTTGTTCGGAAAGTCATTTCGTTTTTTCCCGACAGAGGATTTAATTGTATTCTTTTGCACCCAACTTCACATTTAAGCCGTATAATTTTTATATGCTTTGAGAGCTCATATAGCAAGGCTTGTGTGTGAAAAATTCCAATTAATTCTACGCAGTAGTTTTTGGTTGGTGCCCTTTTAAATATGGAGAGCGATAAGCAGCATTTTCGACATATCTTACTGTTTTACTACAGAAAGGGTAAAAATGCTGTTCAAGCCAGAAAGAAATTGACTGATGTGTATGGAGAAGGTGTGTTGACAGTACGCCAGTGCCAGAACTGGTTCGCTAAATTTCGATCCGGCAATTTTGATGTCGAAGATGCACCACGTTCGGGAAGGCCGGTTGAAGCTGATAAAGACGCGATAAAGGCATTAGTTGATGTGAACCGGCGAATAACAACACGTGAGATCGGATTGAGGTTAAATTTATCAAATTCAACAGTTTATGACCACTTGAAAGGCCTGGGATTATCCTCGAAGCTCGATGTATGGGTTCCCCATGTTCTCACAGAGAGAAATCTGTGTCGCCGCATTGACGTCTGCGATTCGCTTCTCAAACGTCACGAAAATGATCCGTTTTTGAAGCGCATCATCACTGGGGACGAAAAATGGGTTGTATACAACAACGTCAAACGCAAGAGGTCATGGAGCAAAAAAGATGAACCGGCTCAAACCATTTCCAAAGCCGATATTCACCAAAAAAAGGTGATGCTGTCTGTTTGGTGGGATTTTAAAGGAATCGTTTTTTTTGAGCTTTTACCGGATAACACAACGATTAATTCGGAAGTCTACTGTCATCAGCTGGACAAACTGAATGATGCACTTCAACAGAAAAGGTCAGAACTAATCAACAGGAAAGGTGTAGTGTTTCACCAAGACAACGCGAGACCTCACACAAGTTTGGTCACTCGCCAAAAGCTTTTACAGCTTGAATGGGATACAATGCTACACCCACCATATTCTCCAGACCTGGCACCATCGGATTATTATTTGTTCCGGTCACTCCAAAATTTTTTAGACGGTAAAACCTTCACCTCAAATGAGG